ATATTAAAATAATTTCGAATTAGATATGTATTGGCCTGCATCTAAATGTTATTGGAAACATTTGACTTGAATCCAATCAAGTTATTCAACATATTTATTTTTACAATTTAGATCCGAAAACTCTAAAATTAGATACTCTATCCGAATATCCAATCTAATTTAAATAAACTAATTATATTTAATTTTAGTAAATTACACTTGATGTATTTGTAGATATTTATGTATATAAAATTATGATCAAAATATGTTGGATTAGATATTTACACATTTAAATTTGTATCCATGAAGTATGATATAAAACATTTGAATTAGTATAATCGGTAGAAAATATCAATTCATATCTAATTGATCGAATTTCAAATCAAACTAAAATTTAATTCATTGACAAAGTTACTAGTAAGGAAAGTGAATTCGAGAATTCATATAAATAAATCCAAGTTTATACTAAATTGATGTGAGATTGTCACGTTTTATGCCTCTTCCGCAGTTACATCCACAATGATGTACTCTATCGATAGTAGCCCAAATTTAGTTCTTCCACTTTGTGGCTCTACTCATTTTCGTCCATAGGGCTGACAATCAAACGAGTTGGAGCCGAGCGAGTTAAGCTCTATTTTTAAATGAGTCTAAAAAATTGTTCAAGAGAAAATAAGCTGAGCCTTAATGAGTCCAAAACGAATCAAATCTGAGTTAAGTTCGAGTATTTACACATAAATGAACCAAGTCTGTCGAACTCATTTTCTAAATGAGCCCAAAACGATCCAAACCCAAGTGAAACTCGAGTAACTTAGTTTGATTATTAATCCTATATGTCGACAGATCATACTAGGTAATTTTTTTGGGACCTTTGAGTTGTCGTTTCTTTAACTCGAACTCATGGTATGAAGCTTGTTCTAATATCAAAGGTTATAAACCTGTTGTAAAACTTATCCTTGATAATCGCTTTAAAAAAAAAAAAAACGTACCCAAGCGTTTATAACCTTATATACACATAATTTGAAATTTCACATGTTAAAGATATTTACCCACATACTAGTGGAGTAAAACACTTATGCTCTGTTTGGTACAATAAAAAAATTAAAGGATAAAAAATTATATAATTCCTCTTACTTTCTATCCTACCAAACACAAAGAAAGAAAGTGTATCATTCCTACTTTTCTTCTTTAAAAGATAAAAAATGTATTCATTCTACTTTCAATTCCTCTTACTTTCTATCCTTCTTACTGAACAGAACATTAAAAAAAGTTTGATGTCACAAATTTGAACCAGTTAATCAAGTAGCACAGAAGTTTGTACATTTCAACCTAATTGAAAAGATTTGTATCCATTGTTGACGAAGAAAATAGGGGACCGGTAAGGTAGGATTAAGACCCACATTCGGCGTAGGTGGTAAAATTGACGAATTAATATAATTAGCCAATTAAAAAGGAATTGGTTTAGAATGGAACACTTCTTGTTGAAATTCAAACTCATATATATGATTGACTATTTTCAATATTAAATTTGGATAAAGACACAAATTCATTATAAATTTGGAACTAGGGTTGCACAATCTTGGTAATGGCAAGATAAGCTAACACGAGTCAGAAAGAAAATGACTTGGTTATAATAACATACGAATAATCAAAGTTTTATTTTTGGATAACGGAAAAAAACTTTGTCTGTCTCGTCAAACGAAAACGTCCTTATGTCGCTCAGACTCATAAATTTAAATAGAATCGATGACAAACTCGGGATCCATGAAATCAGGACTTACGTATTGGTGAGAATTCGAACTCATACCAAAATTTTGAATTAATCAATCACTACCGTCCAAGCAACTGGGATTTAAATGCAATGCCTAAACGTGACACACACGGCCTGACTCTTTTGGGTCACACCATGGGTGTTCCACTTGGCAGGGACAGAGATTTTGAAGCGTTGAGACTTTGAACAAGACTGGACATGTTGGTTGGTGTGTGACCCACTTGGTAGCTAACGTGAAACAAGCCAATCCAATCTCTTGCCCCTCCAATCCTGTCTCTTGACGACCATTTTTTAGCGTCGGCGTTTGTCTGGAGTAGTTGGTATTCCATCAGTCAATAATTAATATTTTGGTGTGCAAAATATCTATACAACATTTTCTATTTTGAAGTAGGCATGTTGGAGGATTCAAACCGATAGTCTAATGGTCATTGTCGTTAAGGGTAATAATCGTGTCGTATTGATCCGTGTTATTTACGGGTTTATATCAAATACTAGTCAACTCAAATTCAATTTATTTAATTAATTGTATGGAGTTAATATAACCCATGAATAAAAAAATTGACACTAAAATTTAAGTCTAATACTACATTATCTCCAAATAGATTTGTTTCATTTTAGAGGAAGACTATGGTAACAAGATATTGTACCGAAAGTTATCACATTTTAAGGTCGAGTTATAATTTTTTAGGGTGTCATTTACAATTTTAAAAAATATAATCAATTACATAATTGATCGATCATAAAAATTATAACTTTTAAAAGCTAAATTACTATTCTTAAAGGTCAAACTCTTAAAGGAGAAGTTATTATTGATTGAAATAATTCATGATCGAACACAAAACAGGAGCAGATTTACAGAGGAGGAAATTACCTCGGGTGCAATTTTGAAAATTTTTTAGATGGTTTTAAAATTTTAATAAATTTATCTTTTTTAAAAATTTGTATCAATTTATCACTATTTTGATATTTCAATAACACTTTTGAGACTAAAAATTTAAACTAATTTAGTAATTTGATAATGTGTTAAGTGATATAGTCTCAAAAAATAAATTTAAGAGTTCTAATTAAAACAATCTATTGTCGCGTCATTAGGTCTACAATTTACGGCAAAGTTTTACAGTCTAATAGCACTATTCCTCACATCTATTACCTCTAATTCTCTCATTTTGCTTACACACCGATTCATCAATTATCATCGTTCAAAATTTCTTTAAAAAATCACGACGACTCTGATGGTTGTTATTTAATTTTTTTTTCTCTCGGTTAATGCTCTCGATATAATGGATTCTTAATTTTTCCTTTCTCAAAAATTAGATTCTAATATCCGTAATTTGGCAGTAATAAATTACATATCGGAATACATTATTAGTTACACCCACTACAAAAATATTATGGTTCCGCCCTTGATCACAAATCATTTTAATCAATTATAACTTTATATTTAAAATTTATAACTTAATTTTTAAAAATATAAATTTTTAGTACAATACCATTTTTTTTAAAAAATATCATAGTAGTACATTTTATGGTGCATTATAGCATGAAGATTATTTTTTTTTTTTTTTGGGCATGAAGATTTGAAACCACATATCTCAAGCAAGTGACACACATCTCATCAAACCAAACGATGTACAATAAATGAAATCACTATCATCCACCTCTTCAAGGTTACACGTTCGTGTGTGAGATTCATTGGGGCCATAGTCCCCACCATGTTCGTTATCGTTCTCCCACGGGACAAGTTGCAGAGACTACATGAGTTGGACACTACAAGGGACACAGACATTGATTTATACTTATATCATATATCCCCGACCCCCATTGTACCTTATTGCTTAGGCCACACGGATTTAATAAACGATGGACAATGAAAGAATAAATTTCACAATTGTTCAACACTCCGCGGTAACAATTGTATTGTGTCATGTCGTAGTGTGTTTTGCACATATTAATTCAGGTTCGTATCGTAACTTCATGTCTGATTTGAGCACTGTTGTTGTATCTTTTCGAAAATCATCATCCCTATTTTATTTCACCGGAATTGTATAGATGGGATGAATGTCATACAATTTAGTGTTGAATACAATTCGACCAAACAACCTATGATATTTGTTATCAAAATTGCATATTTCAATCCAACATAGTAATTTAAAAGGAGGAGTTGGTGGTATATAAGTTCAAACCGGTTGACCCGATATATATGATTTCCATGTGATTATCTGTATATAGACTTTATATTATAATCACGAGATTAATACACATATAATTATAATAATTCTTCACCATAAGGAATATTACCTGAGTCTCCATTCTCCAAGCTCAAACAATCAATCTAAAAACTCGTAGGATAGTTCAAATGGTAATTGTAACAAGTTGTAAATTTAGATATCTTGAGTTCAAATATTGACAAATCTTTAAATTCAGGTCATGAAAAATTTATCTTTTATGAATACCCTAGTACTGGCGTGGATGTTTTGTCTTTGATTGGATCAGAGAGAAGATTAGTCGAGATAAACATAAACCGACCCGAACACCTCTAATGGTTAAAAAAAAAAAAATCAATCGGAAAACTATGAGAATCTTGTCTTCATCTGGCTGCGGCAGATTCTGGTGAGAGAAGAGGCCGACTAGGACTTCCTCCCAATTATATATTCAAAAAATATGTGGGGCCAAGACAGAATAAGTAAAAACTATTTTGTACAGGAAAGCCCCAGCTTAGCATATGCTTAGCAGGTAAAAACAGATCTCTTTATTAATCTTTCCTGCAGAAACATGAATCAAAACGAGAGGTCAAATTATTCTAAATTGTGTATTGCATCAGCATATCTGTAATCAACTACTAGACAACCGATGAGAGTTTGATTTAAAAAAAATATATTCCAAAAAAAATTTTATTGTATATCACCAAATCACGACACGTGGCATTACCAATTGACAAAACCAAGCATTACTAATTAAAAAATTTCACACCAGGTGAAGAATCATTAGGTTCCATGAATCTTCACCTACCAAGACGTAGTAATTTAGACTACTTTCACCAGGTCATTGGAAGCACAACAACTTGACAGAGAATTCTTCCAAGTGTTCTGGTTGCAGATGTTTCACATTCCGTTAACGGACAACGTTGGAGGGTCTAGGACAATACCTTTTTCATCGATACTGAATTATCTTAAATAGTAGTAACTTCACTTTTAAAAAATATAGTTTAATATTAAAAAATAATAACTTTCAATATTATACCAGGTTTTTTTTCGATACCGTAAAATTATCCCTCAATTAAAATGGCAAATCAAACCCAAAAATTACCCCCCGAGCACCAATCTAGAGAAACTAGTTACAAAACAACAGGGCCATGAAGAAACTAGTTACAGCAGCTCTGGCAACACAAGGAGAAACCAGTGTACAAAAGCGAAAACAAAACCCAAAAATTGACAAGGTTCAGGCTCCTGGGGACCCCAAGTGAAGCTGGAGCTCTCTAGCTACGTGTGTTAATACACAATGTGTGCGTGTGTGTGTGAGTGAGAGAGAGAGAGAGAGAGGACTTCCACAAGAAGATCCAAAAAAATGCAGTAATCACGTCGTGAGGAAAGTCCACAGCTTCTTTCCTATCGATGCTTCCCCAGGATGTTCAGCTTCATCATCCACATCATCATCATCGTCATCTTCTCCGTCTTCACCATAGAATGTGCTTCCATTCTCATCTCCACTACCATATTCTTGCACACCATTTAGCTCCTCACTCGGTTCCATATTTTCAACTAACCTTGCTGCATCTGCACTGTCATCAGCGTCTCTGGGTGTAGTCAACTGCAACACAGCAAATGAGAAAGATGGAAAGGGATCATCATATCCAGCCAAAAAAATAATCCAGCAAGTACTACTGAATGCTTAGGACAAGAAAGATTTACCCTGACAACCCCATCTGATGCATACTCGTGAGTTTCAACACTTTTGTAAGTTGTAACCTGCACCACCGGAGTTACATTGTCCTTTGGTTCAGGATTTTGTTTTCCTTCCACTGTATCGAGAGCACCAACTTCCTTTTCCTCTCTGTTGTTCATATCAACCGAAGCTTGAGCCCCCGCACCCATTCCTACACTGATCAATGTCCAGGCAAATAGATCAATGAGTTGATGTCTCATAACAGAATAGTTAATGTGATTTGCCTATCCTGATGATATACAAGATAGTACATACGACATATCTTGCATATCTTATAACTAATTGCAAAAACATATCTACGTTTTCCTAATAACTTCATGGTATCTTCTATATATCTCACTCACACAAACATATACAAAAAAAAAACCCACGGGTAAATAACACCCCCACCATCAATGCCACCAAAAAGAGATAAAGAGAAAAAGAAAAACGGAGAAAAGGTTATGCAAAGCTTTCAGTAAAATATGCAACAGATGGCCCTTCCTGAGGTTTTAAACAAAAAAGGGAAACAACACTAGTGCAGGTGTCACTATACCACTTTACTCACAAACAGAAAACAATAACTTACGCCTTCTGACGTCTGAGATTGTATCGTTTTTGTCCTGGGGTTTGTACAACTGGAGCAATTGTTTGCCGCCTCTTCCTGCGCCCACCTGCCGTGACACTTTCAGAACGCCCTTCACTATCATCAGCATCCCGCTCCCTGGCCGTCATTCTAGAGGATTGTGCACGTTGTCGCTTCCTAGGAATAAAGCCAGGTGCTTCCTTGGCATGGCTGGAATCTGCCCGACTTCCCTCATTAGTATGAGCAGAAAAATTGTGTGGCTCATCTCTCAAGTTTGGTTCTTCTGAAGGCTTCCCCAGAAAGGCTGCAGCATCTTCAACCACTGCCTTCACAGAGCGTGTTCTACGAATTCCAATCTCTGGCTTTCTGCCAGGTTTGCGCCTACCACTTGCCAGTGCTGATTGCTGGGAGTCGTCTGGAATGTGCATCTTACTGTCCATGTTGCTATAATCATCAACAGAAAGAGTATGCCCATAGTCAACCTCTCTAACAACATTATCAAATGTGAGTGGTTGAACATCGAATGATTCGTTTGCAATTCCAAAAGAAGGTTCCGGTCCATCTTCAGCAATACTTTGCCCTCTTGCTTCTTCTATATCAGCTGGCCTACTTGGTCCTTCAGCTTTATCCTCTCTATTGACTGGTGTATCTAACAAAGGTGATTCACCTGGGCTCCGAGAGGCCACATGCTGGAATTTTCTATTGGGGGACAAGTTCAAAAACTTTGAGGTGCATTTCTGAAGCCAAGACATGTGGCCCCCAGAGTCTGAAGATCTCAAATTTAGTCGAACAGGAGATGTCCTAAAAATCATTCCCCGAGAAGCAGCCAAACCACCCTGAGAGTTCTCGAGATATTCATCTGCCAGTCTTGGAAGAGGAGAGACCTCCCTATCCTCCGTTTCAAGCACCTGGAGATCAGAGAGTACATATTCCTGAGTTATCTCTCCACAGTTTCCACAACTCTTAAGTCTCTCAACTAGTGCAAAAAACCTACATCGCTCCTTAATAAATTGTTCTCGTTGATCCTTGAGCTTCTTGCTAAGGATACCAAGCTCATCAATGTCCTTATGCATTTCAATTTGGTGTTCTTCCAGGTACTTCTTGTTCAAGGCAATGTCCTGTTTCTCCTTCTCTGTTCTACGTTTTTCAGACCTCATTTCTTCCATTTCCTTCTTGACTACTTGCTTTAGATTAGTGATGTTACTAAGTTCTTTTTCCCTCTCTTCCTCAAACTCTCTCTCCCTCTCACGTAGTTGCTTCTCTTTTTCCTCTTGCTTATTCTGAAGATCTGTCTCAAGATCCCTTCTTCGCATCTCAAAATCACGAATCAGTTGACTATGTTCATTTCGAGCTTTTTCTGATAAAATGGCTTGCTCATGCCTCATTGTGGCAGCAAATGATTCTCTCTCCGCCCTCACAGCTTCCAACTCTCTCTTAATGTAATCCTGTGTAGACAATTTATCTTTTCTTGATCGTTCTTCTTCAGAATGTCGCAATTTTTCTAGCTTCTCTTTTTCTTCATTTAGCTCCCTTAGCTCTCTAGTAAAAGTAGCTCTCTTCTCATCCAATGCTTCCCAATCTTCCTCAAATTTCTTCCTGCACTGTTTTAAATCCTCACCTTCCTTCAAAAGTAACTCCTTCTGGAGTCTGCATTTCTCTATTTCCTCTTCCAACTCCAGTTGTAAGCGGATATGTGCTGCCCTTTCTTCTTTGGTTACTCTAAGCTTTTCACTTTCTTCATTAATCTGCAATTCCCTTTGACTAATCTCAGCCCGTAGCTTTTCAAGCTCATCTCTGAGAACCTGTACACTCTCTTTATCAGCAAGTGTTTGTTTTTTTTCAACATCCAACCTTCTCTCCTCGAACTCGATGGACTTCTCTTTCTCCATCAAAGTTTTCAACTTTTCTTCAAGGTCCTTCTCTTTCTCATTAACTCTATTCGACTTCCTTTCCAAAGCTTGCTCTCTTTTTTCAAGTTTTTCCACTACATGGTTAATTTCAACTTCCTTCTGCTCCAGCGCATCGACCTTCCCTTTCATCTCCTCGTCGAAAGATTTCCTCCTTTCTTCTATTTCCAACTCGAAGTCCAGCCTCTTTGTATCCAGGGAAGCTCTGTGTTCATCAAGAAGCTTCTGAATCTCTACCTGTAACATCCAGCAGTTGAATTGTCAGATTCTTGTAACATATATTCTCAAACTCGAAACTATTCACAGAACAACAATCCATTCAAGTAAACTTCAAATGCAGTCATATCAATGCTGACCACAACATGCAACGATCTCTGACCTAATAGAAGTATGAAACCAATGAAAAACTATCCAACACCCTAATTTAAACATGTGTCTGTGCATATCCGTTTGTGCAGGCGTTTTGCTGTGTGGTGTGAGTCTGAGATTTTTTGTGTCAGTCTCTGTGTGTTGGGGGGGGGGGGGGGTGTGAGAGAGAGAGAGAGAGAGAGGGTATCATTAAACTGAGTATAAGTTTATGCATTTTCCATAGCATAGGCATCACAATAACTAATGGAAATGGAAAAAAGGGAAACATAAGTCTTAACTGTAAAATAAGGACTAGATACTTAAGAAATTATGTGTATGATCACACACATAAAATGATGTAGAAAAAGAAATTTCTTCTAATTTCCTTTACTTCCATCCAGTTTACCCAAAATATGCCAAATGCTTAAGAAACATAAAAAAGGAAAAAAAAAAAAGCCTTCCACAAATCCATGTTTTTATTATAAGCCACTCCCTGAATCACAAATTTGTCAATTCACATTTTACTTTATAATCAACACTGACTTTGCGTATATAAGCTAGAGCACCTCTCCTTTGACGACCACTTTCCCACCTCAGAAATAACTTCTTCCTTTTTTCAGTTTTTTTCCCTTTTCCCTTTCGTATACTCTGATGCACTTTACCACAAACCACTTTGCTGTACAAGACCTGACAACCAAATGAAACCCCTTCCTTAATTACGTGGATTTTTAGTTTATCTTATCACTTCGACCCCAAAAGCCCATCACTTTTTCCACTATTAACAAGAAAGACAATTCCCCATCTCCCTTGAACACTACTATTTCACAATGTTCCAAGAGCATAAGACCCCATTGGTAATAAAGATAGAATAATAATGCCAGTTCTAAATTATTTTCGGTTTCATTTATTTGTGTCTGTAGATATTGTGTCACAAAACACTGCCAAGAGAAGGGAGGAGGGGGCAGCACCCATGTGCATAGTAGGCATACGGAAGCTAGTAAAACTAGACGCCAACCAAAAAAAGTATTTCACCTGAAAAAAGTTGCAGAAGCATCTAAAGCTGAAAGAAAGATCCACACAACAACCAAACAACTTCAAAAATACAAACAAAAAAAGCTAGGAATACCATAGGCTGAAGTAATCATTAAGAAATGAAGTAGCAATAATTACTCAGCAGTGTAGGATCAAGTGATGAAACTCACTTTTTCTCGGGTACTCAGCTTTTCAGTCAAAGTAATTAATTCCTTCTCCTTCGCCTCTAAATACCCTTGAAGTGACTCGGCTTTCTGCAACCAAAATAAACAAAAGTATTATCAAATACATAAATGAAACCTTGAATTAATATATTGATCAGTTTAAATGCGAAGGAAATCAAGTCAGATACATCAGAAACTCACGTCTTCTTTTACGCTTAAATTAGCTAGTCTCTCCTTTATGTCATCTTCTTCCTTCTCCAAAGTCATTATGGTCAAATCAATCTTCTTCTGTGCTTCTGCAAGTTCCTTTTCTTTCTTCTTGAAAGACCTGTCAATTTCATTTGCCTTCTCCTCTCGTTGATTGATGATTCTGCGACCATCACATAGCCTTTCTTCCCCTTCCTGTAGTTTTCGCTCCCACTCCCGCAAGTCATCTCTATGTTTGGAAAAAGACAAGTCATGTGCTTCTCGCCTGCAAGATTGCAATCCAAATTTATGATAACCCAATCAATATTTCTTGGGTGGAATAGAGGAAATCTCAATCAGATGAAAATGCCGCTTGGAGTCCATCCTAATTTTTTTGTCTTAAAAAGATGAGGGATCGGTGAAATTAACATAGCAATGTGACCATAGATCATACTCTGCACTAAGAGAGAGGCGCTCCCTCCTAATCACACTTTCACGGGCCTCAACCTCTTGCAATTTTCTGTCCAGCTCCAAACCTTTTCTCCTTGCCTCAGCAAGCATCGCATCAGCAGCATGCAACTTTTTATCCACTTCCAAAGATCTCTCCTCAATTCCAGCCACCAAAGCCTTTGCATCAGTCAACTTCAACTCAGATGTGAGCTTAATCTCTTCATGTTCAGAACACGTTTCATTTAAAGCCTTCTCAAGCTGCAGTGAGGAGGCAAAAACTGTGATATCAGCTAGCCAAGGTAAACCAGAGGCAGAGAAGCCTCTTCCTAGCAAGTAGAAATTGACATACGCACAAGAAAAAGTGGAAACAATTCCACTTTGTACAGCACTTGATGGAAGGAACAGGAATAGACAGCAAGAAAACATACAAATAAACAGAAACAGACTTCTTACCAGCAGATAATATATACATATAAAAGATAAATGGAAACCAAGAAAATGACCCATACTAAAGTCATCTCCACCAGGAAGGCAACAAATCAAAATCAGAAGTTCAGACGTCTCAGGCTTCTCAGTCGATCATAAAGATTGCAAAATATCATGCTAACTACAACAATCACGTGCTTAAGAAGAAAAATTCACCACAAAGAGAGAATGCAAGGGAAGCAAGTGCTCATGCATATAAATATATAAACCCCAAGATCCTTGGAGATATAAGCTTTCAGGGGAAAACAAACTGAATAAAATGGTCTTTAATTTGCTTGAATAAACCAGGAGGCGGCTTATGCAAAGCTAACATGTTGATATCAGAAGAACCTGTGCAACAAAATGCAGTAGGTTACACTAAGAACCCCCCCTTCACCACACAAACCAAGCATGACAGAGACATTCCGGAATCCTAAGGGCATCTAGTCATCCTAAGAAGTCCTCCATGGTTTAGACATTTTTCTCTTCAGTCTCCGAAATTTCAGTCAGCAATAATCTACAGGTTGATAGGAAGCAATGAACCACCTGATATAACCCAACCAACTTCCCCACCACCCAACAAAAAGGGAACACATAAATTTTTTTTTTGGCCACAGGGGGGGGAAAGAAAAAGAAAGGCTGTCAATTGCAGTAACTTGTTGCTGTGCACACTTGCTGCCACAATGCTTACTTTCTTACAACATTGAGCTTCTCACATTACTATAAGGGCTTGCAGAAGTATATCAGGGTAGGCTTGATTAGAACAGTGTACTGGCACAGTGCGGCTATATTTAGCAGTCCTTATCAAGGTCACAAAGCTTAAAATGAATGTGCAATGCTGTAAAACTGAAATCAAAAGCAACCACAGAGACCATTTAAGCTGTTGAAAAGAAACAGCCAGCCAAAAGTGCTTAGATATAATAATGGATTCAGGGAGAATGCAATATACCTATATCAGTGAAAGTTGTGTTCCACCTACCCGCGCAAGCAACAGTCAGATCTTACAGAAATAAGTAAAAAAGATTTTTGAAGCACTGTGATCTTTCAATTTTGACTAATTTGTAGTAAAAATAATACAAGGAAAAAAATGCTTTCTCCACACAAACCACAATACATTCCAAGGACTAGCTCCCAAGCTTCACGCTCCCTCTTCAAGGCATCCAAGCTTGGTCAATACTTCTTTTGGCACATCATTTTAAAACATCTAGAAGCTAGTTTTATCTGGGGACAAAATCTTTATATATATGGCACAATAAAATTTCCTCTATCTTTTGGTAGAAAATGTACCACAACCTTCATGTTTCTATCCCTTGGGTACTAGTGACTGCTATCCTTTTCTTCATCTCTTATTCATTTGGTTTTTAGTTTTTTTCTTTTAGTAGGGAGTTGTTTCCCAGTATGAATATGGTTATTATTTAGTAAAAAGTCCATAAAACAACACACTAAAAGCTCATTCTCTTCAAACTCAAATTTGCACACACATATACTGGAGCAATACGAAAATTCAAATCCATATTTTCTAGTAAAAATATTCTCTATCTACATCCAAAAGTAAAACACAGGCATCTTTTAAGAACCATCTTGCCCCAGGGACTCTAAAAGACCAAAGAATTTAGTGAGAAATTTTTCGACAATAGAGCAATTCAGAATCCAATCATAACAAAATCCAAAAATTATCATAATATTGGGGAATTAGTTCAAGAAAAACTACTCTTTTATCACTCCAAGCAAACAGTATTCTGTCCATTTAGGTTTGCCTAAGAACCGATCAATATGACACTTCTTATAGTTATTATCATAATATACCAGAAGCTTCATTATGTACAATCACAAGAATTGTTGACGATGAATTTTAGCACAAGATATAAACTTTAGTCGAATACAAAAATCAGAAAACCATCCATATTTATGTTCATTTCTTATATCTTTCTCTTTGTGGTTAGCAGTTAGGCATTAGAAAATCAAAGATCTAGAGAACACATATGTTAGATGCTTTTTGAATGTTAAAATATGTTGGTAGGTTTTCCACATTATGTTTTTCCATTAAAGGCCAACATAAAGAGGTAACTTTTCAACATCAATCGATGAAGAATGACCCTGTTTTCTGATAGTGTTAGTATGTGTCCATAGAAATCCAAAGTAGCCTACATCCCCCGGGGAAATTATCAACCCTTCCCTTTCTCATTTCCTTTGTTCAGTAGAAGTCATCATTCTTGCAGAACTTACATAAAACCATCACTACTACTGTGATTTGATGAACTTGCGAAGTCATTAAATCATTTGATAACTGAATAACTGATACAGAGTCTTAGATTGGAACAATGGCTTAGTACAAATTAAGGATACTGTTAGGGCTTTTGCATCGTTTACATACTTGGAGAGTCTAAATAATGGCCAAGTAACAAAATTGTGTTACTTGAAAGTTAGTATCACACATTTGGAATACACAAAATTCATAATGAAAAGGAGAAAAAAAGGGCCAACCATTCTAAACACCAGAAGGCTGGAAACAAAAGAGGTTAAGGAATGCCAAGAACCAAGAAGATGTCCAGTGAGTGAAATGGAATACTCCAAACAGATTATTAGATTCGACCAATAACCAAACACATCATAAACATTCAAAAATCAAAATATATTCAACTACAAGTAGTTCCAAGAAAATGATAGATGGACAAAATTGTCTTACATCAGCCACACGCTGCTTTTCAACACCTAAAGCTTCCCTCAAATTCTCCTCTCGCTTCTCGACTTCAGATATTGAAATTAAATGAGCCACCTGCTCGCGTTTGAGAGCCTCCTGTGCTTCTGCCAGTAATTCTCCAAATTCTTCAGTCTTTGAAGTCCACTCCTTCTTCTCGATTAGTAGAAGTCCCATGTTATACTGATAATCAAAAAGCTGCTTGGACAATAAATTAAATAACAGATGTTATTACAAACCACAACCATGATCTTCAAATTGGAAATCAAGCAATATCTACTAATCTCACACAAAAAATTGCTTAAAGACAAAACTATGACACTGGCAATAAGAAAATGATCAGTAACAATCCTGAAAACAAAAATCAATTTAAATAGCACAAACCAGGAAATAACAAGAAACTTTTCTGAAAATTATATTTTTCACAGAAAAACCCTTTAATTTATGCAGAAATGCACAAGGCTCTAACAATCACCCAAAGACATCCCAAAAATGAAGAATCCTTTGCAAGAATAGAAAGAGTTAATGAGGGGACTGTGCCACAAGTATGAAGTAGGCATTGTAGAAAAAAAAGGGTAAGACTGTCACATCCAAACAAAATCAGCATATAATTTTAAATTAATTTGCAATACATGCTAATTGTGAACCAATAAAAACTTTCAGCAAAAAATTACTTTCCTTAAATCAAATATGAAAACTCAAATAAAAAATGGCAGACTCCAACAGTGGCAGAGTCACGTTGAAATGTGTGGAGTTATTTACCAGCATACAGCTTTTTTGAAACAATATTATCTATCCCCAACACTTTTTGAACTTATTTATCAATCTAAGGTATTTTTTTAAAAACGGAATCAACAAATCCGTTTTTAACAATAAAAACGGAATCAACAACTCCGCTTTCAATATTAAAAAGAAAAATTAGAAAGCTTAATTGATGAATACACTTTCATTTTACTCCACCTGCACAGTGCACGTCCTTTCACAGTTTCATGTCTTCCACAATCACACGCAATGAGTCCATGACATCATTTGTCCTTTCGTTATATTAGATTACTTATATTTTGGCATGTCACTTGTAAAACTATTAGGTAATGAAAACAAAGGGCGTGTTTGGTTTAGTTTTCGAAAACTGTTTTTTGTTTTCAAAATTTCAAAAACACCTAAAACCTGTTTGTTTAATTTTTTTGTTCTCTAATTTTTTGAAAATTTTGGAAATTGAGATGTGATTTTAGAGAACAACAAAATGATATTTTCATTGTTTTCTAAGGTAAAATGAAAACAAGGGAACAACTCCTCTCTTTAATGAGGTTCACCCATCACACTTTCTTGGCAGTAAAATGCATTTTTTTTTCAAGTATAAAAGCCTATTTATTTTCTCCATCTCCATCTCCTCTCTCTCTCTCTCTCTCTCTCACTGTTTGTGCAACGAGGCTATCCAACGAAGATAGATTTCCGGCGAAGACAAAGACAGAGATTTTCATCTCCTCTCTCTCTCTGTGCAGCTCCTCGTCTTTAACGAAGACAAAGTTTGGACTTTATTTTTCTAGATCTGGGTTCAGTGTTTCTTTGTGGGTTTTAGTGGTGGTGGTGGTTGTGGGTTTTTGGTGGTTGTGGATTTCGGTGGTGATTTGTGGGTTTTGGTGATGGTTTTGGTTTTGGTTTCGGTGTTTTGTGGGTCTTGGTGCACAGTGATATCGTGAACCTTCAATCTTAGTCTCAGGTGGGTTTTTCAATTTCTCTCGAAAACTTTGCCAATCCCTTGGCTTCATCTTTCATTGAAAGGTTTGTGTGCACCTTAGAAATTTTAACATTCATAGGGTGGTCTAGCTTGTTTCCGTTATTGTGTTTTTATTGGAGTTTCTTCATTCTGGGTACCCATCAATTACAATCCTCACAAACCCAAGTGCTTCTTCAGTTAAAAAAATGGTTGGAGTATCCAAAGCAATTAGAAGCGAGAGTGGAAATTGTGGATTGTTGTCCAAATAAATTTTATAATTTTTGTTCTTTAAAACTATTTTCAAAAATATATATCCAAACAAGTTTTACAATTTAAAAATTTTAAAAACCACTTTCTTAAAACTCTTCCTCAAAATAGTTTTTAAATATTGTTTTTTGAGATGTAAACCAAACAGGGCCAAAGATTTTATAAATAATAAATGAAATAAAACAATGAACAAGCAATAAGCTTCACTCAAGCACTGTCATTTTGACAACCAGAACCTCTACAATTCTACAAAACAGCAAGCACTTTCGGTGTGTTCTTAATTACCATCTATGTTCAGTATAGTACTTATCCTTTTTCTGCGCTTTTACTAGAAATAATAAAGTGCGGATCATGTAATGAGTTCCGTATATTATAGCCATACCCACAATACAAATTTGACAAATTAAGCTCAAAAAACAAAATTAATCACCCTTTTAAGAAAATATGAGAACAAACAAATCCGCCAGACCGATAGTAAATAACACCATAATATACCATCACATACATATAACCCAACACAAACTACCTTGAAACCCATGATTCAAATTTGAAAAATTAATTCTCATCTCAACTCAACTCAACAAATTCTTATCCCAACTATTAGGGGTCTGGTAAATTTTAAAAATAATTAGTTGACAACCCAAAACTTTCCTCTAACCTCTCTTTCGAGCTTTGAAACCTTCTCCATTAATGCCTGCTGGTCCCTCCTCTCCATAGCTGCCTCGTCTAACAATCCTGCATCTCTAAACCGTCTCCAATCCTCCATGTTCTCCAAATCACCGACCACCTTCGCAAGACTCTCATTCAACGAATCCACTGGCGGTGGCGGCGGCTGCGGTGACGGTGGACGCGGCGGCGGCGGAGGTGGACCATCAACAAATGCCACCGCCTTCCCTTTCCCCAAATCTCTAGAGTTTGAAGTAGTACGCTCTTCGGCGCCTCCCTTCGTGGCGTTATCGATAGTACCGACCTTGAATTTCTCTGCGGTGTAAACATCTCGAAAGAACACTCCCAACCACTCCGGTATTGAGTGCTTTCATAAACGAAATGAGACCCTGATAACAATAAACGGAGTCTACTTGAAACCTTAGAAAGAAACCCTAATTTTTACCGTAAAAATTTTACAGAACTAACGGGAGGTCCATGGAATATCCGAAACTCCGGCGAGGGAATATACAAAATTTTGAGGAAATTCCTCTCTTTCTATTTTTTTCGATGCTTTTGAGGAAATTCCTCTCTTTCGTGAAACGAAAAGTGAGTGTCTACGGGTAAATCATACTTTATATCCCTGAATTATTATTTTTATTTTATTTTGTATTCTTAATTATAAAATTTTTCATATTATACCCTAAAATATTAATTTTATTTTATATCACCCACAATAAATAAAGGCCGTCAATTTTTTGACAATACACATGTGAGTGATTTATACTACCAAAAAATAACAGAATAAACACTTAACTAAACCAACCCATGGCCTCTTCTCTTAATCTCTTCACCTTTCCATCTGGTTTTCAAGTTGATATAATTTGAAGAAGACCATGTATAATATAGCGAGATCTATTATACATGTGTAGGTAAAAAATATAAAAAAATATACATTCATAACTTTGTTGTTTCTAAATTCTAAATTTTTTTTCTCTAGCCAATTTTAGTTTTCTTCTTAGTAATTATTTGATTACAAAAGAGATAAAATAAAGTCGTACTAAGTATTTAGCAGAAAGTCCTTTGGGGTTTTCCTCCTTTATTTGACAGATTTTTAAGTTTGTTATTTTAATCCGTCAAAAAATAGACAACCGTCATCTATTTTGAGTGATATGAAATAAAATTAATATTTTATAATATAATATAAAAATTTTTATAATTGAGAGTACAAAATAAAACAAAAATAATAGTTTATGAGGATAAATTGTAATTTACTCATAAGAAGAAAAATAAAGCTTTTTTATGACGCAGTCTTTTTAGCCAATAGGCCTTAAATCACTAAAATCATACTAATAGTAGCTATGTCCCATGTGCTTTGTACGTCACTAATTTTAAAAAAAAAATTAATAAATAAATATTTAATATACGTGTATTTAAATTAAATACAATCATAAATTAGCAAAATTATTTTTTTTATCTCTCATGCTCTATTATAGAATTTTTTTAAAAATTTGTATATTTTCAAGATTTGTTATTATAACTTTAAGAAAAATGACAAAAAATAAATAAATAAATAATTGCAGTTCCATTTTTTCTATAATTTTTAATTGAAATTTTTTTTAGTGATGTTTGAAAATAATTTTTTTTTAAAATTATTTTGATTAAGATTCCACTTATAAATCATTAAAAAAAAAAAATTATCAACATATCAATCGTATTGGATCCTCACTGTATTTAGGATTAGTTAGGTCAATTGAGATAAAATTTAATATACAACACTATAATATATATTATAAAGCATATTAAAATTTTAAAAAAATCAAGTTTTTAAATAAAATCTTAATACAGTTTAAAAAGTTTACTATAACTAAAAAATTATGTAAAACTATATATACATTATTTTTTATCTTAAAATGAAAATGGTTTTGATGAAAAATAAAATATACATATATAGTCATAATATTGTTTTTATTAATGAGATGAGTAATATTATATTGTTGGAGTTTTTGAAGTTTTTTTTGAATATTTTGTTAAAACTTATAATAATGCTTATATTTTGTAAGAGTAATATTATCAATCAAAAAGTTTCATAAAAATTGATATTTATAAATAGAGAACAAATAATTAAAAATTAATTTGATTAAAATTTCACTTAAAAATTATTAAATAAACTAAAAATAATTATCAATATACCAATCATATTAAAACCTTACGATATTTAGGATTATCTAGGTCAATTGGGATAAAAGTTAATATATAATGCTATAATATATATTATAAAACATTTTAAATTTTTAAATCAAGTTTTCACATAAAATCTTAACACAGGCTAAAAAAATTTACTATGACTAAAAATTATGTAAAGCTATAATACATTATTTTTTATCTTAAAAACGAAGGGTTAAATATTTTGATGAATATACAGATATAGTCATATTATTGTCTTTTATAAATGAGATGAGTAATATTATATTGATGAAATTTTTAAAAAAAAAATTGAATATTTTATTAAAACTTATAATGATACATATATTTTTTAAGAGTAATATAATCAATTAAAAAGTGTTATAAAAATTAACATTTATACATAGAAAATATATAGTTAAAAATGATCTTAAATGTAATTTGGAGATTTAAATGCATAAGGATGTGATGGTAATTTAGATATTAAATGTGAAATGATAGAGTGACTTTTTTAATTTTTTATGAGGGTAAAATAGTAAATCAAAATTTTTTATGTTAATGTACTTTTATTAGTAATATAGATCGATATTTTTTGTATAAATATCTAAGATTATAATTATGGGATTTTTGTTATAGGCTGTCCTAATCAAGAGTCCAATAGGTTTAGAAAACCTCTATTTGCAGAGTGACCCAAATCACTCATCCATAGCCCATCCATGACAAGATTAGAATGGACTGCACCTAAAGGATGAAGTCAAATGGTATCTGAAGGCTTGAAGTCCAACCCAGCCCCAATCTAGCTGAGTGAGAGGTCAACTCAGGATAAAGGAGCTCGTCCTCTTGTCAATCCTGCAATGCTCTCATCACGCCAAATGTCTTGAGGACAGATAGACCATTTCTAACACCATAATGAACACATACTCTGCCACATAAAATCTTGGTGTGCATAATCACTCAAGGGTCGTGAATACAGTGGCATCATATGACAGAGGTCATTACAGAACAAAAGTAGAATAACCCACAAATCAGCAAAAAAGAAGAATGAGCTACAAAAAATCTTAGAAGGATTACTTGTATGAATGTCACTATTACACTACAGAAAAGGACACAATCAACATCCTCCTCCCTACCCTACTTAGTTATCTTCAAAGATAAGCTTGTATTATCTAAGCATTTTCATATAAAAGACTCTAAGCCAACAAACCCCGATAATCGTCTTCTTTAAGCAGTATATACACCCCCACAGAGCAAGAGACTCTATTACAACGGATGTAACATTAGTTTTTTAACTAAGGTAAACCACTTACATAGGTCTTGATTTTTCTATCACAACGTTATTCATTTTCGGTTCATATACTTGTTTTGTCCCCTCTCTGGCCCACCTGACCATGATTCTGGACTTGGGTTAATATTTTCGAGCACCATCATAAAATAATAAATATTTTAAAAAAAGAGATATAATAATAATCTTTATTTAATAAATAGTATTAAATTGGTTTACGCATATTTTTATTAATCATTTTTTTAGTTTATTTAAAGATAAATCATACATATCGATATTAAAAAATTCACGATAAATAAATTTTTCCAACTTCTAAAAAAATTGTGAAGTTGTGAGTGTATAATTTATCTCGTCTTCACTGAGACCATATCCAATGTTATTCTTCAAAATAACTACTAAAAATATATTAAAAAAATTACATTAGTAATTTTTACTAAGTTATTTCAATTTTGCTCTCTATTTTAACTAATTACTATTAGTTTCAAGTTAAAAACATTGCACAGTTTGATACGTCATCAAAATATAAAGTAACTAGCCTCTTGGAGTGTAAAATGTGTGATTTGGCTCTCCAAATGTAAAATAGTTAATCGAAAACGCCCTCTAAATGTAGAGAGTTATTTAGCCCAAATATAAAATAGTTAGCCAAATAGCTAGACACTTGAAATAAAATTTTATGTTTTAACTCTTTATTTTAACTAACAAATATCAAATAATTATTTCATTGGGAATGATCTAATAGTTTACTTACCCCTTTTTTTTTTGTTGATCAAAAAAGAGATGTGATGAAGGAGAACGCATGGACGTGTTGCAGAGCCTCCCCAAGTGGTTGATTCATTAGTTCTTAAAGTGCGCGTGGATCGCACTCAAGCGGTTAAACTCTTAAAAAAAGAACCCGCCCTAATACCTATCGAAAAAAGATCGCATACTGACGGACTTAGACCACTCCGATAGATTTCAATAGTAGGATTATAAAGTTTTTAATCGCGTCTTCTATTATCTTTCTAAAAATTAAATTTAACTAGATTGATATAAAAGTCTAGACTTTTGTCTCCATTACCCTTCAAACTCTGACAAAGGTCACTGTCATCTAAAGAAGAAGGAAGGGGGACTGATTGATTTGCCCATTTCAACTGAAACGGCAAAACAGCCGATTTGACAGTCCAAACAGTCCACAGATCGTCTCTATCACCAAACATAACAGAACGCCATAATTTATCAAAACGCATCGTTTTTTCCGCTGTATAAAAACCAAACCCTACAATCCATCGATCACAATGCCTCACCACCTTCGTCGACGAATCTGACAATCCTAATCCCCTCAGTTTCTCTCTCTAAATAGCAACACTGGACTTCAATTTCTCTCTCTCTATATCTAACTTCACTGCTCTTGCGACGTCTGATAATGGCGGCAGCCGCGGTGGCTGAGAGTTCTTCTAGATCTAGTACGTCGGCCGATTCGTACATCGGGAGCCTCATTAGCTTGACTTCCAAGAGTGAAATCAGATACGAGGGTGTTTTGTACAACATCAACACTGAAGAGTCCAGTATTGGATTGCGCAACGGTAAATTTCTGTTATTGGTGGAGAATTCTGTTTTTTGCTGATTTTATTGATTTTGTGGACGTTTTCATATCGACTTTTTGGAGGTTTGTTTGCTTTTTTTGGTGAGTATGCTTGGAAAACAGTGTGATGATGTCAATAAATTCCATTAGTCAAGCAACAGTTAACAACCAGAGAAGTGCCCCGTGAAATGAAAATAGAAATTAGATGATATGAGTGTCTTTTTAATTTCAGAAATCACTAAGGATGCCCCTGCAGTAATTGTTTTGGTAGGTCAGTAATTTCAGAAATCACCAATTACTTGGAGATGTCGTTGGAGTAAATGTTTTAGTAGGTCACTCTAATCATATATACCATTTCCTTTGTGTTTTTGTTGAGTTCAATTTTGAAGCTTACAATAATGGTTCTGATTTATCTTATCGCAGTAAGGTCATTTGGAACGGAAGGACGTAAAAAAGATGGTCCTCAAGTCCCTACTAGCGATAAAGTTTATGAATACATACTATTCCGTGGTAGTGATATAAAGGTATTCTTTTGGTGGACTTTTATGTCTGATTTGGTTGTGTTGTTATTTTGACTTTATTCATTTCATAGAATGTGATTTTCTGAAATGTATTTTCTTCTGGTAAACCTCTTTTTCATGATTTTTTTCCTTTTGCAAAAGCAAAGCAACAGTTTTTTTTTTTACAAGAAGGATTCTGGTTAATTTTTTCTTGTCTACAAGAGCTAGAGTTACTGGCGATGATAGGACACAGAGCCTTCCGGACTTACGGAAGCCCTCGGACTAGTATTCTATCTTGTCCCTCACACTGTATGTATATGTTTTAGGAGATCATCTTAAATACTACGGTGGTCAAATATTACACGACACGAACTTAACACAAAATTAATAAGTTGGACGTGAAATTAAACGAGACAATAGGTTAAAACGGATCAGCATGCATAAATACGAAAAAAATCATGTCAAGTTCATGTCAAAATCAGGTTAATCAGATTTTGACCTGATTAACTCGTATATTTTAAACGGGTTGACATGATTTAGACACGAACCCGGCCTAACCCATTGTAGACCCGTTTATGACAATGTAGTTTATCTATTATGTATGACTGATGTGGTTTTAACATTATTACTTATTAGTTTTTGTTTCTACTATGGTAATTGGCAATATAGTTTATAACATTATTATGACTGTATACTAATATAGTTCTTAGTTTAATTTTTGGGTTGAAACTTGAATGAAGCTTAGTTAATTTAATTGATAAGATGTGATATGTTGTTTGTAAAAAAATTATTTGAAATTTTGGATGAATGATTAAATGTTGTATTTAATGGCAATGAACACGTGTGTTAAACAAGTCCGTGTTATGTGTACTAAATAGGTTAAAATAACATGTGTGTTAACTCGAAACGACCTGTTTATTAAACGTATCAAACAGGTCGGGTTTTGGTAAACCGTCTAATAGCCAGGTTAGGTTAGTGTTTGCACATCTCGACACGATTATTAAACATGTGAGGTTTGAGTTTTAGAATTTTTGACACAAACTCGAAATTAACCTGACACGTTTGACACCCTAGTAAATACCCTTAATTTGTAAGACCACCTCCAATAGTGTGCTCTATTTGTTCTTTAAAATGGAGAGTATCTTTCATAGAACGTTTAAATAGAAGGTGAATTTTTTGTAACAACTCCGATAAGACTCTTTATCCTAATAGAAGAATAGTCTTTATAGGCAATGCGTTAAATGAAAAAGGTATATGTGTCATCTTTTCGACTAGTCTAAATAAAGAGCATATTGGAGAAAAATTTTTAGGTATTGGCTCTCTAAAATAGAGAATTGAGTTAGAATTGAGAGGATATTGGAGATGCTCTTACTCTTAAATGTTATGTCACTTCCAGTAACAAGCTTTTCCATAAATGTGCATAAAACTCGCCAAGCTGAACTAGTTGACATTGTCAACTTTTTGTTTTTTACTTGACGTGGAAATTGATGCTTCCTCTACCTGTCATGGAATGAATAATGATCTCGTAATGTACTCTGCTGGACTATTATTAGCTTTTCAGTGTTATGCTGCCAACTGTCCATTTCTCGGGGCTGTTTGTTGTGCCTCATCTTTGCCAGGTTTCTTCACAGTTTTCACTTGCCACCAAATTGCTGTGTTTCTGGAATTATTTATGTTTGCAGTTCATCTATGTTCAACTACCAGCTTTTTCAAAAAAAAAAAACTACTAGCTTTTTGCCATGAACCTCTCCCCGCCCCTGCGGCCGAATTGCATGTCACATGGATTGCACGAAGAAATGTGTTCTAAGCTTATGGACATATGCCTCATGACTGTCTTCTTTACTTGCTTTTATCTACAACTGCTATTGGCTAAACCTGAATGCACTGTTTGTGCTTTTTGCAGGATTTGCAAGTTAAATCTTCTCCCCCTGTTCAAAGTGCATTACCCATAAACAGTGATCCAGCCATTATTCAGGTAATTGAGAGGAAGACCATCACACATGTATGACATATCAGGTCAAATGGGTTTGGTTCTGATTCCTCCCAATTTTACATGCAGTCTCATTATCCCCGCCCAGCTGCCACATCTACAAGCTTGCCTGCTGCTGCAAGTGGGTCTCTGACTGATCTTAGTCCCCCCACTGCACAGTTGGCGCACCCTGGGTCAATTTTCCAAGGTGGTCTGCCTTTGTATCAACCTGGAGGGAGTTTGGGGTCCTGGGGGCCTTCACCTCCTCCAAATGCAAATGGTGGTGGGCTTGCTATGCCTGTGTATTGGCAAGGATTCTATGGCTCACCAAATGGGCTCCCTCAGTTATCCCAACAATCCTTGCTACAGCCACCGCCTGGACTATCAATGCCTCCCTCCATGCATCAGCCTATGCAGTTTTCTAGTTTCAGTGCGTCTTTGCCAACTGGAGCTTATACTTTACCTGGTTCAAACTTGCCAGAATATCCTTCTTCTTTGGTCCCCACAATTAACAGTTCATTCAATTTAACCTCTAGTACTTTACCACCTTCAACTTTGCCTTCGACTATGCCTCCTGTGCCACCTGTGATGCTATCTTCTGAAACATTGCCAAGCATGATGCCAAACAAGGCTTCAAGTTCTGCTGTTCCTACAACAACACTAAATGCTAAGTTACCACCAGTGTTTCCTTTGACAACAACTTCAAGTCCAGAGGTAAATTCCATTTTGCCTCCAATCTATAACATGCCTAATGCAGTTCCTGGTCCACCCACCGTGATGAGGACATCAAGTTCAATTCAAGCAGAGACTCCCACACCCTCACTTGTAACCCTAGGGCAGCTGCAGCCGTCTGGATTTGCTGTAGTTTCATCATCTCAGTCCTCAAAAATGGCTGATAAAGATTTGGAGGTTGTTCAAGTATCAGCATCACCATCGTCAGAGCCACTGGTGCCAGTTCCAGCAGAAAATCAGCCTCCAATATTGCCAACACCACCGGTGTCACATGCCCAAAAGGTGATACTCTTAACTATTTATTGATTTGATTTATTCTGGTTTTGTCTTGTGTGTCTTTGGCTTTTCTGGAATGCATGCTTTCAAGATGAAGAATATTCCTTTGTAATCTATTATTGTTTGGGCTTGGATTTTTGGAGAAGCCAAAGGGGATTCCTTCATTTTTTTGTGTGAATTTGGAGGTTGTTTGATAAGACTGAAAATTAGGCATTGAAATTGAATTAGTAGCACTTGAACTTTGAGTTTCCAACATCAAATGCTAATAAATGTGCCAAAATCCATTATGCATTTGATCAATCATTTAATTTGCATGTTGCTTTATAAGTGAAAGACCAAATTTGTACACTCTACACTTTAAATATTGATAAGCAAATTTTATGGGTTTTTTCTTTAAATATTGATAAAATGAGGGTGGGCCTTGGTGCAAGGTTGGTCTACTATGTCCTGGATAAGGCTATATGTGCTTGATGTAATACCAGTAGACTGTCTTTCTGTGCAAGTGGTTAGGATATCGAGGAGCTGCCGTATTTTGTAACCCTTATATCTCCTTTTTAATATTACAGTGCGTTTCACTGGTTGTTTAAAGCAAAGTACTTGTCAACATTTTGGATTGGCCCTTGTTTTACAGAGATATTAAAGAGAAAATTAATCAAAAAATATTGCCTCCTGAAAGTAACGACCAAAAATGGTGAAGGGGAAGTTTGATGTTTGGCATTGCTCTTTTTCTTTCAATACACATGTGGCTTTGTAATAGGGCAACAGTTAAAATGCTACAGAAATATCTAGAATTGTGTCAATTTCCTGATCTTTTTACCGATATGTGAGAGTCTTTATTGCATGACTATAGGTCTTTCTGGTATTTCTTTCAGTAATTTGCTGTCCATCAGTCTTTTGATGACTATTAAGTTGCGTAACGATTTCAGATGAAGTAACTAACTTACAATCTTCCTTATTTATCTTTTCCTTTCTAGCAGATTGGATCTCCTTTTCAAGCTCGAAACAGTTACAGGGGGCGTGGAAGAGGAAGAGGAAGAGGAAGAGGAAGAGGAAATTGGGTAATTTGTTATTTTTTTCATGTATCAAAATTAACAATGAATATGGACTTTATCCAAGTTGACATCATCTTGGGAATTATCTAGATTTTTATTAGGTTACATATGTTTCCTTTTCTTGAATATGTAGTTTATAAATAAATTGCACTCAAAGAGGGCAATTTGACCAAAAATTTACTTCATTAATGTGCCTCTTACCGCAATATATCATAATTCATCAGAAATTATGGATTATGCTAAGTGATTATATCTGCCTATCATTGCTTTCAAGTCCTTTGTTCTCGATTATCTAATAGATCACTTAATGAAACTAGGGTATCTTGACCTAAATTTCAAAACTGCAATGGTCCCTTTCCGAATCAAACATGAATCTTTTGGTTCATTCGACACTCGCACTGAATTTTTTCAATTACCTATGCCAAATACATATCTCTTCTTTTTGATGTAATGTATCTTTTGTGCATTCTTTACATTAAGTTTATAGGATCTTTTTTTCACTAGATTTGTTTTAGTTTCCACATTCACTGATTTTAAAATGCTATTCTGGCGGGTTTCTGTAATAAATAGTGGCCCCATTCAATGTAAAACTATTCTGATGGGTTTCAACTTAAAAGGAGCCTGATTTGATTGCGGAGAATGACATCATGAAACATTGAATGTTGGACTTGCAGATTTCCCGTCCAGTGACGAAATTCACTGAGGATTTTGATTTTATGGCAATGAATGAGAAATTCAAAAAAGATGAAGTATGGGGTCATCTTGGTAAAAGTAACAAGTTCCCATCAAATAATAATGGTGGAGATGGACAAGGCAGTGATGAAGATGATTTACAAGATGAATATGACTCTGAATTACCAAAGTTCGAGATCAAGGTGTGCTTGTTATCTTGTGCACAGCTTTGTATAGAATAATCCTCTGTAAAAGAAATAGTATCTTTATTTACATCCAAATTTGCCCTGTGTTCTACAGCCTGTCTATAATAAGGATGATTTTTTTGATTCTCTCTCTTGCACTGCACTTGATAATGATTCAAACAATGGAAGGACTAGGTTCTCTGAGCAGTTGAAGATTGACACAGAGGTAGGTACTGTTTTGGTTTTGATAGTCCAAGATCTGGGTCTTTCTTTTCAGTATACTGACTTTTTCCATGGTGCAGACATTTGGCGAATTCTCAAGGTACCGGGGCGGTCGTGGAGGCCATGGGCCTGGCCGTGGTGGTGGCCGTTCTCGAGGTTCTTACTATGGAAGGGGGTATGCCTCTGTTGGCCGAGGACGTGGTCGTGGCTCGTCATATCGTGGTTATTAGACCATTTTTTTGCCCTACTGTCTGGGTAGAAACTAAAGCCCTCCTGTTCATCAGACCCAATGGTTGGTCTAGGAAGATGCTTTTAATGTTTGCTCGTTCTACTTTTCTATGCCTAAGAAATAAAAATCGGATATGTTTGTATTGACTTTGATGCATCATTTTCCCCGAATCACCTCGTTTTTGATTGACAGAATGAAGAGGGGAGATCATTTTTACCATTATTTTTTATTCATGAAATGTCTCGCCTATTATTTGTGGACATCAATCAAGCAAATGCCAAGGTAAATTGACCATATCAAGCTACATGCAAGTAGCAACCAAGACTTTTCTAGGAGGAAGAGAAGGCCTTCTACCATGGAGCAAAGCCAAGTTATCTAGGAACAGCACATCACCCTTCTCCCACTTGAACTGGATGCTCTCTTCTTCAATGATCTCTTCACACCTCTTCGCCACCTTCTCCGGTATCTCGGTTCCGTCGGCCATCGTTGCCGAGCTGATCTCCTTCCCATGCATGCCAACGACAGTGTTGAACCACATTCTTCGCCCCTTTCTTCCGTCAAACACCTTGGTTAGAGATCGCGGGCCCAAGATTGTTTTCGCCCCGTTATTTGGGAGCCATTCGATGTCCATCCCCATAGCCTTAGCCCTGCAACCAACATTCATATAAGCTGAAGGTTCGGTTACTTGAAAGATTTAAGGATTGTACGTCTAGGAAGACGTCAGATGTATCAGCGATAAATTTTTTTTATTATAACTTTGGGTGTTAAATCGTAAAAACTACCGTTTCATATGTAAATATAAGACTGTTTAAATCTAACACATCCAAGCGTTAGAATAACAAGAGTTTCGTGCAGTGTACTGTCCATTTTAGGCTAGTGGCAATCGAGTCATAATGTATTATGTTAATTATCAATCAATCCTCACTTGACTTATTTAATCAATTGTGTCAAATGATGTGACACCAATCGCACTTATTTTCTAATTGTCATCTTTAGTATGATATGATATAAACCGTCAACTAAAAATTTACAATTAAGAGCTCATTCTCTCTGAAACAATAAGAAAACTTAGCCATTTCTGTAAAACCAAGTAAAAAAATTCTCCCACTCTACAAGCATTCATACACTAACAAAGAAAAAATTAAAAATTATCTTCAAATTACACGAGCTAACCGCATTTGTCGTCTCAGAATTAAGTTATTTGCATTTAACGATAATCTTCCTAATTTAGTATTTGTGTTTGATTCGACCATTTTTAAATTCGAATTAGTCATCTTTGACAAACACACACACATACATATATATATACATACCTTTTCTCAGCTTCTGCATGGTCTGATGTACCAAAAGCATCTTCCCAACCTCGACCTCTCATGGAAGAAGTATCATTCTTGCTAACAGCTGTGAGAGTGTATTTCAGACCTTTCTTCTCCATCTCCTCCACAGCTTCTGGTAACTCTTCTAACATCCTTTCTGTAACCCTAAAGCTTGGCACGAACGGTGTCTCTCCACCTTCTGGTGGTGGAACCTCGCAAAAAAGAATCACTTTATTCGGAGTTTCATTCATCTGGTAAAATTGGACATGATAAATTAATGTTAGAATCGTCTCATCCGAGTTCAATCCGAATCCAATATTTCGTTCAATGACTATCAATATACAAATATTTTTATTTGCACCATGATGAAAAGAATGAATGATTATTTAACGAATTTGAGTTGACATTTAGGGTATGATTTATTTACACCATGCTGGATATTTTTGATCAATTTTTAAAGAGTTACCGACTTTGAATAAAATAAATTCCGTCAAATATGATTAAATTTGAATGGAAGTTTTTAAATCAAATTCAAACCCTATTTCCGATTCCTTGGCAGTCCTAGCTGCATCCTTATAGTACCACTAACGTTTAAATAATGCACTAAAGTCCTGAGAGCTACGTGACATGCTAGTTTAATAGTTAACCTAGCGGGTCAACTAGTATTAGTTGATGGTGAGGTGAGTAAAGACCATGTTTTTGTTTAATTTAATTTAATAGTATTGGTCTTGGAGCCATTAATATAAGGTAGTTCACCTCAGATTAATAGCATCCAATCAACTGAGGTCCATTGGGCTGCTCAAGAAGAATTTGAGACAAAAAAAAGAACAAAATATTTTTTTTTATAACTACTCTCTTCCGGATTCGTTATAGATGAAAGTTTTGTGCACTAATTATGTGAATATATTGTTAAATTGAAGTGTTTACCGTCCACAGGTGTTAGTGGAGGCACAACTTTTTTCTTTTAACAAGCTTAAAAAGTACCCACAAGTCAGGTTGGTTAAACCCTCCACCGAGTTTTGAGGAGACTCAGGGCTTGCCCTATCACATGGCGAGCACAGTTTTGAATTTAGGCTCTATATTCGAAGAAGATCACTAATTTTTTAAGTGTATAGATAGTTTAAATCAAAAATTTTAAATCCATAAGATTTTAGGCTTTAAAAAAGTCGTATAAAAATTTAAACTCAATTAAAAATAAATTTGAGCAATTTGAGCTCATGAACTCAACCCATAATATTAAAAATATACTAAAATAATTTTTTTAGAAAAAAGAAAAAGAAAAAAGCAAAGAGTTAAAAAAATAATTTTAACTAGTCAATCACCATTCATTTGTAATCATTCTCTCTCTCTCTCTATAGTAAACTATGGCCCTCCCTCTCCCTCACTCTCTAGAAAATACAATTTTTTTTTATTTCTATTACAAAAAATAAACCAAAATATTTTTTTTATTAAACTAGGAAAATTAAAATCAATAGATTATGAATGTTTAAAATTAAAATTGATAAAATTTTTTCTAATATCGATTATCACAACAAAGATTAGACTCATTTGTAGTAGTCGTTTTAGGCCTCAGATAGTCTCGGATTGCCCCTGGGGAGACTTATTGCACCTCTACGTAGGCCAACAATCTCTCCCCCATGCCAACAGCTATCCTAGGGCTTGAACCTGTGATCTCACTCTAATACCAATTGTTTGATTAAAGTGCTTACCGTTATAGTTAAATTTGCCGGTATTAGTGAAAGCACAACTTCTTTCTTTTAACTAACTCAATAACAAGCGTCCATGGGCCGAATTGGTTAAACCCTTTCCCGAATCTCAGAGAGACTGATTACACTTCTATCCAAGTCAACATATAAGACCTATTTGTAAATCATAAATTCCATTTTAACTCATGATAAGTAATTTGTCACTTTAAAATTAAGCGAAATTATATTACAGAAAATCTCACTCAACTCAACGAGTATGTAAGAACTATTATGTAAACCATTTTCAACAACCCAAGCAGCCTAACACAGACCCTAATAGGATGGTATTAATCAAACATGGATATTCATGAATGGGATTAATCAATGAAGAGATTGGATGACCTAACTAATGCTTAGTGCTGATCTGGTCAAGCGATACGTTACAAGTTCAAGTCTCTAGAAGGTAAAATTGTGTAGGACTTACCTCTTGCAGATATAGACGCGACTATTGTACCTACACTTGAAATTGCTCTTTTTTTTTTTTTATCGATTGAAGAAAATATTTGAACTGTATTTTCTTAGAAGAGAGTAGTCTAATTTTTAAAGCCATGAAACTTCAACTCACCAGGACCATTTCATGGTGATAATATATGAACTGAGAGAGGGGTCCTTCATTGGCAGTCCACACTCGTTTGTGGACATGAGTCCTCGGCGCCGGCCCGACGTACCGGATGTCGTCCCAGCCGAAAGCTTCGACGATCTCATTGAAGTCTACGGCGTTCTGTACGTCGTAGCCTCGGAGGAGCACAGCACTGTTCTTGATGATCATTTGCTCAAACCATTCTTTATTCTTCTTCAGAGCCTCAAGAAGGGTTTCCAAGTCATTGTTGCTAGGCTCTGTTGGTTGTAGGACTAGTGGCATGGTCTCACCATCCACCACCTTTTCACCTTCACATTTTCCTACCTTGAAGTCCTTGCATGTGTACTCCATCTCTCTCTCTCTCTTATTGATTTTTTCCTATGCATTTGTGGGGTATTTATATAGAGTGGGTAGTGTTGAGATTGCTTTGATCGGCATTTAGTGTGCAAGAAGATGCTATTGATGGGCAGATTAAAGAACTTATACTGTGTCGTTTTGTGAAGGGGCGGTAAAATTATTAGCTCTTGTCTTGTTTGTTTAGCAATAGTATTTATATCAAATACTTAATTAGGGTTTAACAGTATTGGTATTACACGTTTAATATTTTTATTTTAAATAATAGTGAATTGTTTCAATCACGCCTTATTTAGACTTGCAACTATAACGCAAGTATTTTTTAAATCACGAAACACATGCATCAATTAAAATTGGACCTTATGTGTGGTCAATAAGATTGAAACTCAGGCTAGAGTTATCTGGCTCTTTTCTTAGAGAAAATTTTCGGTGGGTCTAACACACCACATAAAAGTATCGAGTGATGTACACACTCAATGAAAAATTGTCAAACACGTAGTTTGTAGGAGTTAACTTTTTCAAAAGAACTATTTGACAAATTGATGAGTGACGACAATTCTAGAGCCTACGTAACTTTTAATTGGTTGTGTATATCAATGCAAGTGTTTTGTTGAAGCCATTCAGCTTTTTCTTTCATCGTTTTCTTAAAAAAAATGTTGTTTGAACCTAATTTGTGAACCTCATCAACTGTACGCGTTGAATTAAAAGTGGGTTCTACCTAATTTTAAAACTTGCACGTAATTATATGATTATATTGAATTAAGTTCTTAATTAAACTCCTAAATTAGACCCTATAGCATTGGTCTTTTCTTAATTACATAGGCCGGCTTCGAATTTCCCTAGGCTTATCATAGGAGTTCTCCTCTTGTTCACTAAGCCAATGTATTTTGTGGATATTCTCTCTCTCTCTCTCTCTTATCAATCTCAAAAAAATAAAAAAATATTATGAAATGGTCTATACATCTTTAACTTGGACCAAAACGATACACCTGATGAATAGACAACACAAGAGTCAAATTCCGGCCTCCCATTCCCTATGCTGATCCTGTTCGGCTTTTGGCAATGAGAATAACAGCTCCATATGCTTGAAACTGAAATTTTCTTTTGTGATAAAATTATTATTTTTTAATGAAGAATAGTCCAAACCAAGCATTTTGCAAATTCGTGATCACAATATAAACTCAAAATGGATGTAATCAACTACAAATTATGCGCATCGAGAAAGAGTCGATGCACATATTTGTAATGGTCAATTAGGAGAAAAGTTTTGAATCTCTTGGCGCTGTTTATGCATAGATAGAACTATTATGGTATCGAATCAATATCATGCCACAAAACAACTATATAAAAAGGTGAGGGACGAGTTAATTTGATCATTTTACAACACAAGAAGTTTAAGTTATCGGAAAAAAAAATATTAGAAAATAACTTTTGAATACCGTAATTTTTTTTCCTAAAAAGATTGCCGAAGACACAAAACATCCTAAGCAGTTGGACAGGAATATTTTTTTCGTATATGTTGGCCATTTCTACGACAATTATATATAAAATAAGACTTTGAGAAACATTGCCGTCCTTAGCAAGAGGCCAATAAGTTGGCAGCCATTTAAAAAAGGAAAAAAAAAAAAAAAAGGACAGGGTTACAAATGCAATTTTGAGATACCAAGTTCAATTCAATTTATCGATCTTATTTGCATATTTAAAATTTATACAGACTTAGAGGTAACTTGGTGCCCGAAGGCACAGTGTAACATAAACAAATTGGTTAATTTGGACAAATGAAGATCCCAGAGAGAGTAAAGAGAGAGGAGAGAAATATAAAATTCAATGTGAATGGTTTTGAGAGGGACGTTGGTGACCGTTGGATGATTCTATTTGAGACTGTCAGATGAGCTTATTAAAGTCTATTCTGTTTTGTATTATAGATGTAGGTTTTTTGGAACGTAATATTTTTGATGTCTTATAATCTAAGTCGATTGCCCAGTTAATATCCATTACAAAACCGTTATCTATGATAATTTTTTGTTGTTTAGGTTAAATTTGAGGTGTTTTTATGATTTGAGTTGGATTTTTTCCTCAATTTTTTTAATCTTAGTTAAATATGATGCATAAAATAACTCACTATTTGAAGCTAATGATAACCATAATTAGTGTTAAGCGTCGAATTGAGTCAAGTCTGTTGACCTTATTTTTTAAAAAGAGTCAAAAAAGTTATTTACACTTGGCTCGTTTAGAACCCAAAACTAGTTGAATTCAAGCAGAGTTCAAGTAACTCGACTAATGAATTGAATTTTGTAAGTTTGAGTATAATTTTTTAAACTCATTTTTCTAAATGAGCATGTTATTCAAGTTCAACTCATTTTTTAAGCGAGTCGAGTTTGAGTCGAATCTATGCTGAGTCCAAATAACTTGGCTAAGTAATCAAGTCGAATAAGTCCTAACTCGCACATATAACTTTTTGATTGAACATGATTTTGCTACTAAAAATTCTTGCCTAAGACTTTTCAAAATATTCGCTAGGACCTTTGTGTTCATCGAGCCGTCTCAATACACGAAGAGTCCAATATTAATGAACATTGACGGGTTTTGTTTGGAATTCGTTCAATCTAAGCTGTGACACTTACAAGTTCAACAAGACATCTTTGAACTATAAGCAATGTTAATATTATAATCAAACATAGTTTACCAATATAGTTTTACAGTCATGGGCGTAGGAACTGAGGGGGTTTTCTTTCTTTTTTTTTACCTATATATATTTTTGATATTCTTTTTAGTACAATTGAAATGGGGCCCACCATCAAAGTATGTGAAGTCTTGAGGTAGAGCCAAACAAATAAGGTCTCTTTAGTAAATAGTGATCTTGTACAAAAAATAGTTGAGACTGAAAAAATTGTGATATATCCATTATTTTATTTACTTATGATTTTAATTTTTAATGTTGATATTACCGACTGTGATTGTTACTGTCGAGAGAACATTTTCAACAATGAAGATCGAAAACTAGGTTTCATAATCAAACAGAGTTATCAATGGATGATAATAACTATATAAATTTTTTTTTGGTCATAATAACTTGATTACTTATATAAAAAAAGAGATTTTTCAATGACATTGATAATGTCACATCAATAAATCTCCTCGCATTGTCAGGGTTTGCCACAAAAAAAAATTGACATTGATAATGCAGTTATCTATATCATGAAACGTTTTTAAAGTATGAAAACTAATTGGGGTCGATTATAAATTGCTATAATTAGCCTTATTTTTTCTTTATAAAGAGTTATTATAATTAACCTTTTTTGTTGTTTTTTGTTATCATAAACTATATATATACTGGCTTTTGGTCTCTTTGTATTCAATGAATTTTTACCTAACAAATATGATGTTAAAAATAAAAATGTACCACATTCTTTTTAAAAATACAAATGTATCTAATATGTATACTAACTAGCGTCCCATCCCATATAATGCACATGTCATCCCCTTTCTCCTTTTTTTTTGGGGGAAGGGAGAGGGGAAAAGGGGATTAGAACCCTTGAGCTTATAAAGACAAAATTTTCTTAAGATAAGGAGTACTATTGGACCAAAGAGCCGTTTATTTTCTCCCATTAATTCCTTTCTTCACCCTTTATTGTCTCCCACCCATTCTTTATAAGTTAGTAAAAATATTGTAGAAATTATTGAATTACAAAATTTAAGTAGTGGTTAGAGCTAGTTTATAGGTAGTTAATTAGAGTAATTATTGGAGATAATTAGTAGAATGTGATTGGAGGATAAGGAATTTAACAATTCAAAATTCTTAAAAATTAGAAAAGTGATAGGAAAGACTTTCCAACTCATCTCTTTAAAAAATTGATTGTTTTATATATATAGTATAAATTTAATATTATAGCTAGTAAGTTGGATGATCAATTTATAAAAGCACATCAACAGTTAATATTAATCCAATATTCATTTATTTTAATCTAATGATTTAAAATTTATCATAAAATTATTTTTCTTACTCAAAAATATCGTCTTCTCTTTGCGCCTTCCATGTCAGACAACTCAATCAATACACTCTCTAAAACATCAAATAATCTCATTAATTCATACCTACCTCTCTCTTAGTTTCTCTTTATTCACTTTAATTTTAAATTATGTAACTAAAAAAATTATTATTTAATAAATATTGTATAATTAATATTCAACTTTTGGTATGACAAAGTATATTTAGGCACGAGGTTTACATCCATGTATTGTTTTTAAATGAAAGAGAGGATAGGTGCAATGACATACACGAGAATATTAGTAGAAGGTTTTTTCAAATCTCATGAATTCTTGGCAAAGGGGAAAAATAAAGCTTGTTTCTAGGTTGGTGAGGGCTTGAATTTATTCCAAATCCCCATTCTAGGTGGTGGGTAATATTTGTGGGATGAAGAACACATCCATGATACTGACCCAAATGAATATCGGATAAATTCGTTATACCAAAAGTTTTTTAGGTACCGTATCACAAAATATAATTTTTTACGGGTTATTTCAATCCGGTAGAACTCAATTCTGTAATTATCGAAATTATAGCTTCAAGTCCTTCAATATTTTCTATCATTCAAAGAAAAATTATTGTCCAAACTCAAACACGAAAAATTATAATTAGTAATGTGTAAGACAACCATACACTCAAATGCATCATTGCATAATATAATATAACATCGTCGGCAAATCCTTTACTCTAAGCCCCCACCAGAAGATCATGGGGTGCAACAAAAATGAGTGTGATGGAGCACCCTAGAAATTATATAATGTACGATCTTTGCAATTCACATCAAGAAAGAAACTTTTTAACCTATGAATAATAAGAGATATATCACTATCAAAAAAGTTTTCCGATATCTTATTGAAATCTATTCATAACTATAAATTTTGGATTCGATTGATTTGTAACTGTTAATTGTAAAAATAATATAGTAATTTAAATTAACAAAAGTGGTAAATTTTATATCTTTATTAGACAA